ACCAGCATCGGCTGGAGCTGGTGGCAGCAATTACGGCTCCGCGGGCAGCTCGGGGCTTGGCATAGGGTGGAGAATGCTCCACCCCGCGAGTGAGGCTATGGGCCTTGGGTGTATTGAAAATAGCATCAGAAAGAGCTGTTGCCAGAGGAATTAAGGCTCCACTCGCAGTTCAGTGCTTGGCCCAGGGTGGGGGATGCTCTCCCCGGGAGCTGCGAGTGGAGTGGGGTTACAGCTCTTGTCTGTATTGAAAACTAGCATCGACAGGAGCTACTGGCAGAGGAATTAAGGCTCCACTCGCAGTTTGGTGCTTGGTACGAGGTAAGAAATGCTCCACCCTGGGAGCTGCGAGTGGAGTGAGGTTATGGTTCTTGTGTCTTTTGAAAACTAGCATTGACAGGAGCTATTGCCAGGGGAGTGAAGGCTGCACTGGCAGCTCGGTGTTTGGCACAGGGTGGGGGTTGCTCACCCTCCCTGGGAGCTGCGAGTGCTCCAGGCTATGCCTCTTGCCTGCACTGACACCTCTCACGGACAAGAGCTGTGTAAGGACAGCTGTGCGATGAGCTGAGCCCCTCGGAGCCGCGGCAGAGCAGTGCCAGTGCTGCCCTCCGTGCCCAGGGAGGGCCAGGGCTGTGGCAGAGCTGTGGATGTGCTCTGTGTGTCCCCGCGGGAGGCTGAAGAGCTCTGAGGGTAACGTGAAGTGGCAGCGTAACCTATTTCTGCACCAACCGCCCAATCCCCTCCTTGAGATGGAAGGAATTGATCCAGATTTCCCTTTCTTTCTGCCTTTGGGTTCAAGTCAAGCTGCTTAAGAGAAGCTTTGTGGTGTGCCCACCCTTGCCTGTGCTGCTGTGGTAGACATAAGCTGTTCCCTGGGTGTGATCTAACCAAGGCTGTGTTTAAGCTGTCCTTGCTTTTGGAGCCTTCCAAAAGTGCTGCTGACCCCATGGGCTGTCAGCAGCCTCTGCTGCAGGTATTAAGTTCAGCTAGGATGGCAGCCAAGCAGTTGCCTCTGCAACTAATGTCGTCAGAGAACAGTGTTTATCTGGGGCTCACTGGAGCCTGGGTTTGAACACACCAAATGCAATAATCTTCCTGATTTGTCCTGTTTATGTCCCTCCTACTCCAGGGAGTGCTGGGGAATAACATTGCTGTGAGCAAACCTGTTCCAGCTGAAGAGTTACTCTGACCTCTGTGTGCTCACCAGGTTGATGGTTGGGCTCACTCCCTCCTCATATCTCTTTTTTTGGTTTTTAATTTTTTAATGAGGTAGAAATCTCTGCCTTTGGAGTGTCCATTGTTGGAGTGTGGCTTGGGATGTGGGGCAGGATGAATTCCAGGTGAAGGCTTTGCATGCTGCTTGCATTGCTTGATTCACTTCTAGCTGTGATTCACCTGAGCTGCATTTCCTTACTGGGCTCGTGCAGGGCTGTATTTCATGGACACAAACAGGGACTAATGGAGACTGAGTGATGTTATTGCTGAGTGAGTGTCCTGCCATTAGCATTCCAGCAGGAAGCTGGGCAGGTGCTGCTCTAAGTGCTCCTCTCCCTCGGCAGGTGTGTGTTCAAGCCATGATGCAACACTAAATCATCTCTCCCAGAGCTGTTTATAACACAGAGACAGCCTGGAAAGTCCCAGCCTTCTGCAAAGAACCGGAGGGGTTAACAATGAGTTCACTGAATATGAAAGCAGATGCAACAGCCTCTGGAAGCCACTGGCCTGTTTACTCTGCCTCGTGTACTTTAGCCTGGCTCCTAATATCTGTTCTATTAATACTTCTGTCTGAGGAGAGGTGAACTTTATCCTGAAAATTGGCAGCGAAATGCCTTAGGTACTCCGCAGCCCGCGGCAGCCCCCGCAACAATGGGCGAGGCAGGATCCAAATAAAACCTGGAATTCGGTAACAGGAGAGCTTATGGTGAAAGCTGATGCCACCAGGCTTCGGCCAGTCCTGGGGCTCAGCTAATTGGTGACGATTTCCTCTTGTGGGAGCTCACAGAAACAGCACAGGATGTTTAGGATGTTAACTCTGGGTGGTGTAATTTGAGGCCATAAATGGAGGAGGTTAAACGTCTGCCTCAGTGGGCAGAAAAGAAGGAGCATGGGGAGGAAATGACCTCCTTTAACATGGAGTGCCAGGCAGGAGCACTTGTCAGCTTAGGTTAGGAGCAGAGGATGGGCTGTCACAGGAGAGCTCCTGACAGTGCTGTCCCATTTGGAATCATAGAATTTTAGGGATTGGAATGGACCTTATAGATCATCTAGTCCCAATCCCTGCCCTGGGCAGGGACACTTCCCCCCAGAACAGGCTGCTGAAGGCTTTAGCCAACCTGGCTCTGAACACTGCCAGGATTGGGGCATTTGGAAACTGCTTTGCCTTGAATTTGCCCTCCTGGCCTTTACCAACACACAGTCCCTCTCTCCAGTGGTGGAAATAAGGGAATAACAGCATTAACTGTGGATGTTTAAACAGTTTCGTTGTGATCTCTTGCAGAGCAAAGAGTGGAAGATGTACGACTGATCCGAGATCAGCACCCGACTAAAATACCAGTGAGTCCAGTTATTTGCATTTCCCACTTCCATTCCCAGTCTCATGTTCTTTTTAGCAGTTAGAAACCTGCAAACAGGCTGTCCTGAGATGACCAAAGGGAAATGTGGCTGAGTCTGGATTTCAGGGACACCCTCACAGCAGTCAGTGTGGTGGAGCAGGTGCTCCCCGGGGGCTGCAGGAAGGGGTTTTCCCTCTGTTGCAGTTGTTTGTTGTAACTTTGAAAACAACCACACCCCAGTTGAGCTCTGAGGTCCTGCGGAGTGCTCAGCTCCTCTTGATGTTTTCCTTCTCCGAAAGAAGAGGCTCACCAAGAAGAATACACAGGAATGGAGAGGCAGATATGGATCTGATCCCAAATCTGTGCTGGGAAGGACAGAAATGCTTCTCTTCCAGGAAACAGGCATGTGCTTGAGAGCTGTCAGACCCCTCCAGCTCACCTCATGGAGGTGGTCAGCCCTCACCTTGTTACTCTGTAGCTGCTCAGCTCCAAATTCTGCCTGAATTTGTATTTTCCTTTTATTTATGGCATCCTCAAAGTTATGAATGCAAAGAGCATCCCAGGAAGCAAAAGGCCTGGATTGTGTTCTGTCCCTGATGAGTTGTGTGGCACAGAGAATTTACCTGGACCCTCAGCCTCTGGCTCTGATGAGAGTTACTAATCCCTGTGTGTAGAAATTCTCCTGTGAGCAAATGCTGCAAACTGTCCACAGTTCACTGATAGAAGCTCTTGCAGAAACAGAAACCGAAAGGTTTTCAGCCTTCCTTTGCCTTTAAACTCCTTCAGCTCAGAGCTGCCACTACTGTTGTGCTGTGCAGTTGGCCAGGGCAACAGGGAATACTGTACAGCAGGGATTTTCTGACTCTCCTGGAATGTTTCATTGTCCCAAAAGGAACTTTCCTGACAAAGATTGGCTTTTTCACTCCCCTTCCACAGATCACTTATTCCCCAAGCTCTGTGCTCACAGATTGAAGGCCACTGATTTATCATAGTATCATAGTATGCTAAGGGGTTGGAGTGGAGCTTAGAGATCATCCAACCCAAACCCCTGCCCTGGGCAGGGACACCTCCCACCAGAGCAGGTTGCTCAAGGATTTATCCAGCCTGACTCTGAACACTACCAGGGTTGGGGCATTCATTACTTCCCTGGGCAACCTGTGCCAGTGTCTCACCATCGTACTCTCATGAGGATATGACTTTCGGTTAATTGGCTAATTTTTGTTAACTTAAAGGAGATGATTTTGGCAAAATCCTCACTTTAAATCAGCCATGGACACATTAGGAGCAAAAATTCCAAGGAGATACAGTGATGCAAACTCCCAGCTATCCTGCTGGGATCCCTGGAGGCTTCCTGGGCCTTGTTCTTGTCGTTAGCAGCTCTGGATGAGCTAAGATGGAAATGTCACACTGCACAGTAAATCCTTGCTGTGCTGTCAACATCCTTCATTCACTCATTAGGGAGTTAGACCATAACCAATAGGTATTTCCAACAGAATTCCAATATCTATTTCTGTTGGAAATATCTATTGATTATGGTCTAACTCCATAAAAACAGTGTGGATTTAATTCCCAGAACAAACCAGCATTTATTTACACTGATTTAAACTGATCTTTCCCTGATAAAATTAAATTGGCTCAATATCTTTTCACCTGTGCAACTCTGGAGTATGAACACAGCCAGACCCCGTGAGCATGGAAGGGATCCAAGTGCCTGGTGTCATGTAGCTGCCATCCATCTAAAAACAACAAACCCCACGTGGCTGTGGAAAGAGGAGTACAGGAATTCTGAGGTCATCTCTTAAAAGCAGGAACTCTGCTCAGTTGCTGGGCAGGGTGCTCCTTACGTTGGGAAACCTGGAATTAAGTGGCTGCCACATAATCCTGACAGAGTTACTGGTTCCTGAGAGTGTTCTCTTCGGGAAATTCTCTCCTGAATTAATTCCAAATAAAATTTGGAAGTTTGAGGGTGTAAACCCTGCAGAAATAGCTTTTTCTTGTGCATTGGAGTGACTGTGGTAGGTGAATGGAACGGCAGAGTCAGCTGGAGGTGCAGTTATTAGAGATGGCCTGAAACTGGAGAAATTCCAGTGAAAACTGATGAGCAGCAGCCCAAGCTCCTGCTCAGCCACTACAGTGTGTTAGAGGGAATTGGGATTGATACTTCCTTGGATTTCCTCGTGCAGGGTAATTCAGTGCTGGATTAAATGATTCCAGCAAAGGAGCTGCTCTAAAACTGCCCTGAAGCTCTGAACATGTGCTGCAAAATCCCTGTGTGTTACCCCCTCTGTGCAGAGATTCTTACAAACAGAATAGAGAAGCACATGAAGATAATTTCATTATCATAGAAACAGAATTTTTTTTAGGTTGGAAAAGACCTTTATGATCATTAAATCCAACCTTTAATTGCTCCTTTTAAGATTTGGGCTGCTGCATTCACAAATGAAGGGAGCTGGAGCTTGGAGGGGGAGATGAGGGCACCAGACACTCTT